ACCACTGTCTCCACTGAACTGGTTTGTGCGACCTTCATTACACAACATTCCTGCTAGCAGCCAGCCCAGTAACTGATTTACGGTCGTGTCACAGTAAAGCGCGGCTACATCACTTACGGGCAATAGCACGTCTCTCTCCATTGGCCTCACCTGAGACAGAACGATCTTTTTCCAAGAGGCCCTACTTATTCTTTATCAGCGGTTATCCTTTTCGCTGTCGCGATGTTATGTGATTTCTTGTGCACATAGATGGCTAACACAAGAATAAAAACGCTTCCTAAGCTCCTTCCAGAGGGGTTTCTCTCACATTGTATACATGGCTTAATTTTTATACATTCAACCATTTTAATAGCATGACGTTTACTTCAATGTTTATATCATGTCATATCTTTATTCCTATTCTAAACGTGACAACAACTGTCACAAAGAGTACAATTTTCTCTCTCGCGCCACTATTTCTGCTTGCTTCGTTCTCACAGAAGGTTCTTCAGAGATGGGGACCGGTTTGTGACTCGGACTCGGTCACACTTAAGTCGCACACACCAGAGACTTCAGACTTGACCTCCTGCTCAAAAAGACTCCTCGGACTACGACTTGGCCCCGTGTTTTGGGAATCGTGAACAATATCTGTTCTTCTATTTTTGGCGTATTGACATTGAGGAAACTCTGAAACGTCGGACGGGCGTCTTCGTCTCTTTTTTTCATGTAACCAATGGTTATAACTCATTACGCCGTCGGCCTTCACACTACCTCATGGTAACGACAAGGCGACCCGTGCGGCACATCTGCAGGCTGTACCGCTTGTAATTAAGGTTCACAAAAACTTCGAACAAAGCCGGCGGCCCAACAACAAGGAGGCAACACTGCAAAGTCTGCCAAATTAAACATCAAGGATCTGGTCAACAACGATCAAATTTCATGTAGGGCCACTTGAAACTCCCCGGGAGGCTCAGTCACATTAACGTCATATGGCGGTTAGCAAAACATGTTTAGTCAGCATCAGCTTGTAATTGTTAAGTTAGCCTTGCTAACCTCACTTTGTAACTTGAATATTTCGAACAAGATGAGTGAATCGTTTGCTTGTCACCACTTCGCTTGCATTTCACGCTAAAAGTGCGCTGATGTTCTTTCCCCTCATATTGCATTGACAATAGCCCTCGTTTAAAGTGATCATATAACAGAACAACTAATCAGTACTGATACTGTATCGCTAGATTAGATATAGTAGTGAGTAGATATATACAGCTAAATGCTTTGAACTTCTCTTAGATAAATAGTGTCGCAGTATTCTTAACAGACCTGGATAGCAGCAGACATACGAAAGCTTATTACACAACCCAGAAGAGCACATGAGACTCTTATTTTTGCTAGAGACTTGAGACTTGACTTGGACTCGTGACCAAAGACTTGAGACTTGATCAAGTCTCACCCCACAAAGACTTGAGACTTGACTTGGACTCGTGACCAAAGACTTGACCTTGCAAAAAAAGACTTGTGAACATCTCTCTCTCAGCATCACACGCTGTCACGGTGGATGCCTTCATAGCAGGAGACACAAAGGGACCCTGGACGGAAATGGCGATGGCGGCTGGTGGCGGTGGGGGTGGGGTGTTCCAGCAGAGTTTAAGGTGGCGAGACAAAAGATTACCCCCTTTAGATATCCATTAATCAAACAAGGGAGACACCCCCAGAGCAACGAATGAAAAAAAAGGGTCACATGCAAGTAATCCCCACATAGCCAACTCAATGCAAGCACACACACCGGAGACGTGTACTGTATAGGTCAGCCACATCTGAATGCAAGAAGGGACTCAGGTGAAGAAGAGCACAGGGGGCTGTATTTCCTTTGTGTCTTGAGAGATGAGGACATTAATGCGGCTTTCCAGGAAAATTCTTACACAGGATGAGATCTTACCGCACTGAAGTGTGTGGCGAAGCACACAGCCACAAAACCTCTTTTGTCTCAGCTGTTGTCTATTCAAAACCTTCTCTTCACTCCGAGGCTTTCTGGACAAAAGCCAAAGACCTCTGCGACCAAAATAAGCGATACATATTTAGACCAATTGGGTTTAAAATCCATACATCCATAAATTAACAAATGCTTTTTGCAGGAAAGCGATCCGGATGCCCTGCCTCAAAACCCTGTTAATCTTTCACCCAATATATGTCCCGTCTGTGTGTTACGTAATATAACCCCTGTGACAATATGGTTAGTACTGCATGTTTGCCAGCACAAACGTATCCATTGATATCATATTCACCAGCACATAGATCCAACATGCATAATCTAATGTGGCGTAAGGAGAAAGTATGCAGAGTGCAGCAGAGCTCCGGATCAAAGCCACCCTGTATCTGTCCTGTACACACCACTCACAGCAGGCTTATCTGCTCGGGGCACGGGTGAGAGCACACGTTGTCTCAGGCAGGGGCTAAAAGGAGACAAATGAGGGTTAAGCTGCTTTCAATATTAGGTTTTTTTTCTAGGACTATTAATATGTAGTAGGCATGAATCCAGGCTTTATTTACAGGTTAGATGACTGGATGTGTGCGCACAGAAAATCATGCTGAGCAGAGGAGAAACCGGAGGGCCATCTTGTGAGCTCTTTATTTTAAACGGACGGGAAGCACGGATACTAATGATCATTTTCATTTTCATCAATTATTAAAAACGCCTTCTAAACAGAGAGCTAGGCAAGCCATAAATTACAAACCTGAATATTTGAGTTTTACATCAGCAGAACCAAAGAAGATCTAATCATAACCATAACATGAAAACACATTTAAGTCATAGTAGATGCCTTACAAGCAAAGTAGGAATCCATATTTTAAGGCAGACAATGGACAGATGAATTAGCCAGTGGGACTGAATCCAAAGCTAAAGATCCTCTGTGCTTTCCAAACTGGAATTGCTTAGTCTTGGTTAGACTTCTACAAGACACACTGCCGCACAGTGCTCCCAGGTGATCAGAAAAACTAGGACAACGAAATACTGTACAAAGAGGGACAAACCATTTGTTTCCCTTCTGCTGCCATCCTAACGGCCCTGCCCTGAGCAAATGAAACTGGAGAGCTGGCTGTTTGTGTTGGAAACTCGAGCTGCCTTTAAAGTCAGGTGGGAAAACAAGGTGGGGGACTTTAACCTGCATGTGCAAAATAAGAGTGTTCAGGAAACAGGGGGAGGGGCCGGTAAAACCAACAATGCCTTGCACACTCAGACACGAGACCTTTCATTTGCATGCACACCTTGAAAAAAAGAAACAGACTGAACCCTATCCTAAGAGTTAACATATGATTGAGCAAAGCTGTTTTTAAAAAAATGGTATCTGCACAATCTTAAAATGATTTCCAGGCTATTTGAGGCAGATTCAGGAAGAAGCCAGAGTTGCATGGCACCATGGAAACTAGGGTCCCGCCCCTGAGTGGAGCAGTAAACAGGTTGAGGCTGTAGTGGAAATCTGACAGGGAGACAGCAACACAGACAAACATGGATGACTTACTTCAAAAATAAAGAGGATAGAGTCCAGCTCCTCCCTTTGTGATTTGTTCCCTGAAAAACAAGGAAAGTACTTAGGACTATTAAACACATAGCCAGGAGGTAGACTGCATTAGCCTCATCAATAATGCATCGATAACACAGGCCAATTTGTGAACACTTATTCAAAGGAACTTGTGTGAGCATACTCCCAGTGGGAATGAACCCCATTACTCCTAATAGTGTAGAGTTTAGCAGAATTAGAGTTGAACTGGACATAACCAGACAGTGTTTCCTTATGCTAATTTCTCTGTAAATGTAGGGCAGAGCAACATACACCCTTGTTGTCATGCATACCATAAAGAGCAGGGAGAGGGTTAATTATTGAACCGCCATCCTGGGTGTTGGTCAACTCGTGAGTGAGCAGTAAACAATAAAAGAAAATAGCAAAATGTGCAGTTACCTTTTAGTTTTAAGTTGCTTTCCAGTGTAATGAAATTTTCATAGAAGATAAAATATATCTGAGAACAGTTGCTTTCGAAGAACGGCTTCAGTTCACTCTTGTCAATGATATCTGTGGAAGAGAGAAAAAACAATGTCAAGAACATCTTAACACCAGACCTTGTTCCTTAAATGTGGATGTGGGCATAGCGTGATGTATCTTCAAAGGAGATACGTCTATAATTCATACTATTGGGGGATTTCTTTCATGTGTGTTGTGGCATGGCAGCAATACAGTAAATGATACGATACAACAATTCAAACTCAATTATATGATGCTACTTGTTTGGTCATAATAAACATTTTCACTTGATTTTCTATCTCAGAATGTATCTAATATCTTCTCAATCAACAGTCATTCAAAACTTAAGGTCACGCTGAGTTCATTTAAAGAACAATGTTTGATTTTGTCAGCATTTATCAAGGTTAAACAAAACTGCCACTACAGATTTGTTTCCAACCGATTATCAGTAGTACTCAGAGCAGTCATGTGAGAGTATTTATTTGATTTCAAGGTGTTTTATGACCTGCTGTCTCTTTAATTCAAGTGACACTGTTAAACATCACTTTTGCACACGTTTCTACTTGTTTCCCATTGTGCAGACTAGATCTGTTTTACATGAAGGCAAATTACTTCACTTCCTTCATCTGCTCAACTTCCGCCTCCCCTCACCTGGTAACATTAGAGAAATGATGACAGGCTTTTTGGAAGTGTTAATAAATAACTTTGCCTCCTCAGGGGATCATTTCACATTGCCTGAATAAGTGTGTATATATCCAACAATTCTACACACAATATAAAGATTTCACCTTAATGTATACTGCTTTAGGTCAAAAGTGGACCGGCATACTTTCAGGACATTTCATCTCAATATTTCATGTACAAATACCAACATTGTTGAACAGGATCTCACATGAATGTGCTACTAAACTTATGTTCATCCCTCGTATTTGGATTATTAAGCTGTCTGCAGCAGATGCATATGCTGCTCTACAGTATGTTGTTCACCAGGGATGAGGAGTGTGTCGCATTCCCAGGATCTTCTTCACTTTTAGCAGAAGCCAAAGCATGACTGAAGATGCACATTTGTGGGACAACTTTTTCTCAAAACGCTTTCTGTCACCATTTAATTAGTTAGTTAGGATTATTTCATGTCCTCTGGATGAAGGCCAGGCTAAGATATGTAGATGGCCACACGAGCTCCGGCTGGAACAGTTAATGAGGCAAATAGGTGGTACAGTCACAAACAGACTGGCACTGACAAGATCCCCAATTCTCCACGAAATGAAGCCCAATCATTTGCCATGCTTATTCAGCTGTGGTAATGAGATAGGCCTGGTCTGAATAATCAAATATAGGCCAGGAGGAGCGCTGGCACAATAACAGCAATTAAGGTTCACCTTCTGTTGCGATTCTCGCTCAACCACATGGCAAACTGGAAGACTCCCAGAAGCAGTCAGGCTTGTGGGGAGTGCTGGAATTATGCAGTGTGTGACAAAGACTGGGATGACTAATCTTTGCCCTGAGATTAAAGAGAAGATATTGTAGACGCATGATTGGAAGATCAAGTCAAAGGCATTGCTTTTCTGCCTTGATGTAGAAAAAACAAAAAGCAAGGCATCATCTGAGGATGCCAAGTAGTCAACTGGCTCTTTGAAAGTGCATGGGTCTAATACTAGGAGCTGGACAAAAGCAATCAATACCATGTTAAAGTTGGTCTTACTGTACAGGTAGACAAAGACAGATTCTACATTTAAAAATATAGGAATAAAAACCTCGAGTAAATTGTAAAACTTTTTATTTTGACATCTCAATGTTCAAACCTTGGCAACACTTCATTAAATACTCCTTGCTCCTGAGTCCTGGCATTAAGTCTTCACATCTGCTCAATTCACATATAAGCATAATCATCTACACAAGTGCACACTCTCAAGCACACACTTGGAAACTTAAAGCAAAACAGTAGGAGTAATGATTGTCCAACTAGTGACTAAGGATGCTCCAATCGATCGGCCGCCGATTGATATCGGGCGATACTCACTCTCTGCCGATTGATCGGTGCTCTCTAAAAATGCCGATCGCATGATGTAAAATGATGACGTAAAAACGCCAAAATGGCTTCACCAGTCTAGCAGTATTTTAAGGTGTCCGAAAATGACAATAAAATAGCGGTATGCAACGTGTGTGAAGCAGAAATCCTGCTGCTCCACCCGCTGTGACGGACCGGTGAGCGGAGCAAAACACACCCTACACTACCCCTCGATTCCACCGGGTCCGTCTGCGTCGCGTCACGGCTGCGCCACGGTTTTGGTCCGGCCCCCTCCGGCGTCATACTGTACCGGGCACGTTTCAGGAGCATTTCAGAAGCGGGCCGTCTTGCCTGCCGGCTCGCAGTTTTTGTTGATTTGGGCATATTTCCTGGACAGGCTATTTTGTACAGACAAAGTTAATAATAATTGTAATATCCCAGTTATAAACGACATGAATCAAAGATGTGTTGCTGTATTTTAGTGGTCAAAAAATGCATTCATCATCATAATTATTTATATACAGTATATATATATATATATATCAACCTGAGCAATAACAGTTTATGGCGAGAAGTACGCCAAATGAAAGTTGTAACAAGCAGTAGTGCTGAGCAAAGTGACTAGAACGCAACCACACACTTTATAAAGTCAGGCAACACTAACCAGGCTTCTTGTGATTCTGTTTATTTGTACCTTACTTTGACCATCTGTTCACTGTTATTGATCATTGTGGAGAGCAGGCAGATGTTTTGTATTATAGCAGCTATCGGAAGGAATCAATACATGGGCTGCACAGGTTGTCATGTCTCATGTCCGACTATCACAAGTAGAATCATAATGAAAAATACGCCGGTAAAATGTGCCGGCTTATGCCACAATAGGATAGCAACAGGTAGTCAAGATAGTCAGTTTAGCTTCGGTTGCTATGCTAACATCACCCATTTTATACCAGAGAAACTTGCTGCACCAAAACAACACTCCCGCCTGAAAATCCCATGGGGCAGTAGATGTGTATATTACCTATATGGCTCTCACTAACACCTCTAGAAGACAAATACAACATTGTTAAATGCTTGATTGCCAAGAAGATTGCCTAAATGTCACTTTAAGGTACAATTGGTTTTGTTTTGTTTGCAGTACCTATTTTTCCTCATCACATGGTCCACATGTTCTACCACTGTGTGTGCTGTTTTGGTTTCCTGTCAAAAATAGTATAGTATGCAAGCTTGGGAAAACAGCAGAGGGGAAGCACAGGAAGGTTTGGAGGGCGCAAGGGTCAGTGTGTGTTTGAAGTTGTTGAGACAGCGTTAGCATGTTTATCATGCGTGTCAGAGAATGGGCTGCTATTGAGCCAAATTATAGCTGACTTGCTTAATACTTTCACATTCATCAGCAAAATCCCTCAGACAACAGACAAAGAGTTAATTTGGCTCGTGTTCTATAGTTAGACCAGTACGTCTCCAAGGAAAATAATGTCACCACCAATATCAATAAAGATGCGTCGAATAAAACAATCAAATATATTATTTTTTGATGTCAAACAGGTCGGATAGGTGTATATGGTGTACCTGTGTGCTCAAAAGAGATGGAGAAAGCACAGAGAGGAAGTCTGTATGATAATTGTGCAGCTCTAATTTGAATATTATTGTATACGTGAGGAGTTGCTGGGCATGGATCAATTTCCTCTGTCAAGCTGCATGTCACTGGGCCATCATCTTGAGCTCGCTAGCCTTCAGACTCCCTGCTACCCATCTGCTCCAATGGGCCTAAGCAGCTGGAGGGAAAGCCCTTAAGGGGAAAAAAGGAAATGTAAAGCAAGCAAGAATCTGAGATGGAAGCTAACCATGTTGGAAAAGGCTGACAACCGATCAAGCTCCCAGTGGTACACTTCTGACAAATGATATGGTGATATGCATTGACAGGTTTCTGTCCAGGCTGTGTTAAGTATGTCAGAGAGTCAAAGGTGAGCATTAATCCTCATGCATAAGCAAAGCCATCTGCTTGTATACAGGCAATATACCAAGCAAGGCCAAATTAAACAACCTCTTCCTCCTTGGTAACCAATTGCTTGAAAATTACAAATATTTCAGAGTTCTTGTATTGATTGTTTATGCTAAAATATTGGATAACAACATGAGGGCAAATAAATTAGCTGTTACCTCAAGTTGACAGAAGATGTACCTGCAAGTGCTATGCGACCTCTTCCGCTAATTTAAAATGCAGCAGTTTGACTGGTTTTAAACCTACCTAAGTTCCCTCACACTACACCGCTCCTTTGCTACGTTGACTGGCTGCCAGTGGCGGCCCAAATACGCTTCATGACACTGGGTCTGGGCTACCGTGCAGTGAAGGAATGAATACGGTGCTGCCTACATCCAGGACATGGTTAGACCATACACTTCAGCACATGGTATTTTCTCTGCATCAGCCTATGGGCTTGCTACTCCCTCACTGCAAGATGGACCCAAGGACGGTAACACGCCTGTTTGCTATCCTGGCTCCAAAACGTTTGAAAGAGCTCCCAAATGATATGAGGATAGCAGAAAGTCTAAACATCTTCCGTTGCAGACTGACAACCCACCTGTAATGCTTGTACCTTGGCCATTCAAACCAAAACACACACAAATAATAACTGTATTACTTTAAGGATTTCGTGCTTTGAAACTAATGCACCAGCACTAGCAATGGTTTGGCTTTTTTTAAGCAACTATACCTGCATGTTTCCTTTCCTATTGTTCTGAGTCTGTATCTTTATGATTATTGTACTCATTGTAAGTCGCTTTGGATAAAAGCGTCAGCTAAATGAAATGTACAGTAATGGGTTATGTGAATGAAAGCATTCACAACTGTAACAACATTAAGCCATTAGGAACTAAAGGACTCTATATAAAATGTCTGTTACTAATGGAATGCTGTGGCACCAACTAAACACACTTATCCCCAGATATCTCTGGTTGAAGTTTTCTTTGTCGTGAAAGGAAACAGTTGACTGAAAGGATGAAGTTGTCACCATTGTTAACTGTATCCATCCAGGCCCTTTGC